CACCACGCCTGGCTAATTTTTGTATTTTTAGTAGAAATGGGATTTCACCATATTGGCCAGGCTGGTCTCGAACTCCTGACCTCAGGTGATCCGCCTGTCCCAGCCTCCCGAAGTGCTGGGATTACAGGCGTTAGCCACCACACCTGGCCAAGGGTCAGTTTTCTACTTTGTGAAACCCTTTGTTGGTATACCCTTCCTTAGTTTTATATAGATTGAGTTATTCACTCAAGTATTCATTAAGCACCTATGATGTACTCGGCACTGTGTAAAGCATTAAAGGTATGTACACTGATGTTACGTTCCTGTCCTCAGGGAGCTTATAGTCTAGTGAACAGATGAAGAGCAGATGCAGGACAGCAGGTGGTGTGTTTTCTGCTGTGAAGCACAGTGTGGTGAAGGGGGAAGAGTAGCTCAGGGAACAGACTGCATGGTATCCAGTCCCCACTGTGGACATTTCCACTAAGGCATTACTAAGAATAGCCACTTCTTAGCTGTCATACTTAATCCAGTAATTCTTTAATTTTCTCTAAAATGGAGATCAAGATTTACCACTGCCACCCTGCGCCTAGGACTCCTCACGCTCTCCGTAGCATGGTGCTTTTGTTGCTTATAGGATAACTTGCCTTTGATGATTTTCAAGAGAGTTGTGCTGTGAGGTAGCAGAAGTACCCAGGAAGCAGGATGCCAGTGCCTCAAGGAAAATGGTCCTTTTTAGCAGTGTATTTGGTACCTGGGGCTTGGCTCTTGTGTATTACCTCACACAAAAGACTTTCCCAGGGCTTCGTTTTACTAGTTGGCATTGGAGCATGTGCGTAGCCATCCCAAGGTACGGGGAGCTCTGGGCCCTCCTTCAACATTCACATTCTCAAACTCACTGACAAGCATGACTTTGTGGACACTGCTGATGCCAAATTGAAGATTTCCTGTCTCTGGATCCAAGTCAGAGGGCCATCTCCAGGTCAGCTCATCCAGAAGTGGCCCCATTCAGAGGTGGCGCCTTGATGAGGTCTTCTTAGAGCTCAAGGATGGTCAGCAGATTCCCATGTTCAAGCTCAGTGGGAAGAATGGTGAAGAAGTGAGAAAGGAGTAGAAACGATCCAAAAGACCCAGGTTTCTTCTAGTCTGGCCTTTCCTCATCTCCACCATGTGCCCCTAAGGGGCGATGGCCCATCTGAGTGACAGACATTCCCACAAGCCAATTTTCATATGCTGGCACGTGGTAATTTTGATATAATTCTAACATGGGCACAATGAATGCTATTGTCATTTTCAAAATGAATCGGAAAGAAACTCTTATTATAAGTTTAAGATAATTTATATGAAAGTTCTTTGTACAAAAAAGTACATGAAGCTGGGCATGGTGGCTCACACCTGTAATCCCAGCACTTTAGGAGGCTGAGTTGGGCGGATCACCTGAGGTTCGGAGTTCGAGACCAGCCTGCCAAACACGGAGAAACCCCATCTCTAGAAAAATAAATTTAAAAATTAAAAAAAAAATTTTTTTAAAGCACATAATAAAAGGAATCAAAATTAAGAAAATGTTTATTTAAAAAATAAATAAAAATTAAAATGGCGATCAAGACTAGCTACATAATTTGCGAAATGTACAAAATGAAAATGCAGGTCCCTTGTTTGAACGGTATTAAGAATTTTGGCCAGGCACGATGGCTCAGGCCTGCAATCCCAGCCCTTTGGGAGGCCGAGGTGGGTGGATGATCTGAGCTCAGGAGTTCGAGCCCAGCCTGACCAACATGATGAAACCCCATCTCGACTAAAAGTACAAAACGTTAGCCGGGTTTGGTGGTGCACACCTGAAAGTCCAACTACTCAGGAAGCTGAGGCAGGAGAGTTGCTTGAACCCAGGAGGCAGAGGTTGCAGTGAGCCGAGATCACGCCACTACACTCAAGCCTGGGCGACAAAAAAAAAAAAAAAGAATTTCCAGATGAGGCCTGGCGCAGTGGCTCACACTTGTAATCCTAGCACTTTGGGAGGCTGAGGCGGACAAATTGCTTGAGCTCAGGAGTTAACACCAGTCTAGGCAACATGGTGAAACCCCTTTTCTACCAAAAAAAAAAAAAATTAGCCATGCATGGTGGCTCATGCCTGTGGTCCCAGCTACTTGGGAGGCTGAGGTGGGTGGAAGTTGAAGTGAGTCGAGATTATACCATATACTCCAGCCTGAGTGACAGTGTGAGACCCTGTCTCAAAAGAACAAAGAATTTCAAGATGAGACAGCATTATATATCTAATATACATTTTTTTTCTTGCAGAAAGATTAAAAGCCATTCTATTAGAGGAATTTTTTCCTATTCTGAGTTAAATGAATTATAAATATTACTTTCCACAACAAGCACTGTGTATTTTAAGGGCCCAGCACACTTCATACATCACTCTGCTAGTTAGCAATGTGTATTTTAAAGTATTTTATGCTCCTCTTGATGAAGAACGTTTGGCCTCAGTGTCAGTGTTGAAGGGGCTAGTAATAATTTTTGAGCTGGCAGTAAGTTTTTAAAGTTATTCTCTTTATTAACAATAACAAATATTTACTGAATGCTTACTATGGGTTAGCCTATTTTTCAGGCTGTGTGTGAGATTAAAAAGTACACAACTATTCAGCAAATATTTATTGTGTATTTACTATGTGCAGGTTCTGTGCTAATGGAGAGGAAAGCAAGGTGATGGGGATGGAGGCTGGCGGCTCACACCTGTAACCCTAGCACTTTGGGAGGTCAGGAGGGCAGAATTCTTTGAGCCCAGGAGTTCAAGACCAGCTTGGGCAACATGGTAATATCCCCATCTCTACAAAAAAAAAAAAAAAAAAAAAAAAAAAAAAAAAAACTGGGCATGGTGGCGTACACTTGTTCTAACTGTTCAAGAGGCTGAGGTGGGAGGATGGCTTGAGCCCAAGAGTTTGAGACTGCAGCAAGCTAGGACCGTTCACACCAGCCTGGTGACAGAGCCAGACCTTGTCCCTGCCCCCCGCCTTTTTTTTTTTTTTTTTTTTTTTTTTTTTTGAGATCGAGTCTCACCCTGTGACCCAGGCTGGAGTGCAGTGGTACGATCTTGGCTCACTACAACCTCTGCCTCCCGGGTTCAAGCGATTCTCCTGCCTCAGCTTCCTGAGTACCTGGGATTACAGGTATGCGCCACCAGGCCCAACTAAATTTTTTTGTATTTTTAGTAGAGATGGGATTTCATCATCTTGGCCAGGGTGGCCTTGAACTCCCGACCTTGTAATCCACCCGCCTCGGACTCCCAAAGTGCTGGGATTACAGGCGTGAGCCACCTCACCTGGCCCTTGTCTCTTAAAAAAAAAAAAGAAAGAAAAAGGCATAAAGATTGGCAAAAGGGAAAGATTATACCCCTGTAAGAGCTCTCAGCGCTCTCAGTGGGCACGGGACATAATCCTCAGTTATGATCATATGTCTAAGCATTATCAAAGTGACCTGGACAGAGAGAGGTGGTAGGGGTAGAGAAGGGCACAGCATTTCATAAAGGAATATCTCTCTGTATTAATTACCTATTGCTATGTATCAGATCACCCCCAACTTACCATCTTAAAACAACGGATAGTTGTGAGGATCAGGAATTTGGGGGTGGCTTAGCTGGCTGCTTCTGACTCAGAGTCTTTCATGAGGCTGCAGTCAAGCGGTTGGCCAATGCTGAGGTCATCTGAGAGCTTACTCACATGGTGGTTGGCAGGCCTCCTCTCCTTGCTGGCTGTTGGACTGAGGGCCTCAGTTCCTTACCACTTCACCCTCTCCACAGGGCTACCGGAGTTGAGTGTTCTTAAGACATGGCACCTGGCTTCCCCTAGAGCCTCGTGATCCAAGGTGGGGAAGGCGGGCGGGAGAGAGAAAAAGAGGGTGGAGGAGGGAAGAAAAAGCCACAGTGTCATTTGTAACCCAATCTCAAAAATGACATGGTTATTTCTTCCATATTCTAGTGGACACACAGATCACCTTGGCAAAATGAGGGTGGACATTACACAAGATGTGAATACCAGGAGGTAGGGATCATTGGGGCCATCTTGGAATCTGGCTGCCACAACCCCTCCTGTGACTGGGGGAGAAGAAATATGTGCAGCAGCCTGCCATCTGGTATAGCCACTACCCAGAAGGATGGTAGGGCTAGAATTTTCCCCAGGAGGGCTGCTTCCCTCACTAGTATTCCTTTATATGACTGGTAGGATCCCTGCTGATGCTTCAAGGGTAAGTCATGTTTGAGGTGGTACACAAACCTAAATTATCTTCACTATGTACAATGTGCATTGTTACAATATATACATGATACTCTATAATATACTATATAAGTCACTAGTAAACTGGGCGCAGTGGCTCATGCCTGCAATCCTAGCACTTTGGGAGGCCGAAGCTGTTGGATCACCTGAGGTCAGGAGTTTGAGACCAGCCTGGCCAACATGTTAGACCCCATCTCTACTAAAAAGACAAAATTAGCCAGACGTAATGGTGCGAGACTGTCGTCCTAGACATTCCAAAGGCTGAGGCAGGAGAATCAATTGAACCCGGGAAGCAGAGGTTGCAGTGAGCTGAGATTGCACCACTGCACTCCAGCCTGGGTGACAAAGCGAGACTCTGTCTCTATATTTACTTAGAGATATAATAATTATGCTAATCTATAATTAATATAATTATATATAATAATAATAAAAGAACATGAATTTTGAGGCTTTTAAAAAAACCTAGGTGAGATGCTAAATCATTAACTGTTATCTTACAGGATAATTTATTGGCTAACATAAATTAATTAGTAACTGAATTGAACATTTTTCTTTCAGGTGTGTTTTGATTGTGGTGCCAAAAATCCCAGCTGGGCAAGTATAACCTATGGAGTGTTCCTTTGCATTGATTGCTCAGGGTCCCACCGGTCACTTGGCGTTCACTTGAGTTTTATTCGGTAAGTGAATCTTCTCTCATTGGGGTGAAAGCAATTACATTGTTACATGGGTGTTTTTTCCCTTTTTTCTTTTCGTTTTTTGAGACAGGGTCTTTGCTCTTTCACTTTGGCTGCAGTAGTGCCATCATAGCTCACTGGGCTCAAGTGAACTCCCACCTCAGCCTCTACAAAAAATAAAAAATGTTGTGGTGTGATGATGTATGACTGTAGTCTTAGTTACTCAGGAGGCTGAAGTGGGAGGATCACTTAAGCCCAGGAGGTCAAGGGTACAGTGAACTATGATCATGCCACTGCATTCCAGCCTGGGCGACAGAGTGAGACACTGTCTCAAGAAAGAGAGAAGAAAGAGAGAAAGAGAGAGAAAGAAGGAAAGGAAAGAAATTTGATTTTATGACAATTATCTTCTAATAATTTATCAGTACAAAATATCAGTACAAAATATAGACTCATGGGAGAAGGGGAATCAGGTACTGTCGGTCTGTCCTGTGTCCACCAAAGTAGAGAGTTTATGTAAATGATGAGATGCTCTCCTTGATCAGGCCTTCACTTCCAGCGTAATCTTACAGCTCTGGCTCCCAAGGACACCAATATCACAAAGCCGGAGTGAATTATTTTTAGTGGCAATTTCAAGTGTTTATAACATGAAGGTCTTTTTTCTCTTTTTATCTGAAGACTTGGGCTGCATTGGCCCCCATAGTGAGTAAACCATATTCTACTTCTTTTTTTTTTGAGACGGAGTCTTGCTGTGTCACGCAGGCTGGAGTGCAGTGGCGCAATCTGGGTTCACTACAACCTCCACCTCCTGGGTTCAAGCAATTCTACTGCCTCAGCCTCCTGAATAACTGGGATTACAGGCACCCACCACCATGCCCAGCTCATTTTTCTATTTTTAGTAGAGATGGGGTTTCACCATGTTGGCCAGACTGGTCTTGAACTCCTGACCTCAGATGGTCCGCCCGCCTTGGCCTCCCAAAGTGCTGGGATTACAGGTATGAGCCACTGCACCTGACACTATCTTCTAGTTCTGATACTCTATGGCGATAGCTCATATAGGGCCTTTTGCGGCAGAAGAGGTCACCACCTTTGGACAGGCAGTCTGGTGGGATAAGCCAACAGTCCAGTGGGAGGCAGGGCTATTTGTGAAGTTAAATAAATTGAAATATTAAAAGAAATAATGAAAAGATCCCCAGGGCTTGGAAGCCAAGCAAGGCCTGCAAGTCAGCTGCCACAGGCCCTTGCCAGGACAACTTCTGCAGGGCACCTTCAAATAGCCGTGGCTTAGTTCCCAGTCATTGCTGCCTCCCCCAGACATCCAGGGATTTCCCTACTGCATCTTTTTCTAGGGAAGGAACCAGCTAGGCTGCCCATTTGGGATTGTGGCAAGCAGTTTTATATTATGACTTAAGGAATAGTGATACAGCGTTATTATTATAAAGGAGCGTTTGTTTTTATAGGATAAAATCTATTATAATTCTTTTTTTTTTTTTTTGAGACGGAGTTTCACTCATGTTACCCAGGCTGGAGTGCAATGGCGCGATCTCGGCTCACCGCAACCTCCGCCTCCTGGGTTCAGGCAATTCTTCTGCCTCAGCCTCCTGAGTAGCTGGGATTACAGGCACGCACCACCATGCCCAGCTAATGTTTTGTATTTTTAGTAGAGACAGGGTTTCACCATGTTGACCAGGATGGTCTCGATCTCTTGACCTCGTGATCCACCCGCCTCGGCCTCCCAAAGTGCTGGGATTACAGGCTTGAGCCACCGCGCCCGGCCTGGGGCCTATAATTCTTAATGAGATATTTTGTATCATAGCGCAAAAACTTTGTAGTAATAATTACAACATAATTTTGCAGATATATTTGAAAAATCTTTTCTCACATACAGAGTTCTTTTTTAGAAATCAATTTGCAAAGGCATGATGGGCTAAATATTTATAGCCATATAACTACATAGATGATTATTTAGAAAAAAAAAAAAAGTTTGTTTTTTTTTTTAAAAGACAGGGTTTCACCATGTTGGTCAGGCTGGTCTTGAACTCCCGACCTCAGGTGATCCGCCCTCCTTGGCCTCCAAAGTGCTTGGATTACAGGCGGGAGCCACCACGCCCAGCCACCCAGCAAATTTTTATATTTTTAGTAGAGACAAGGTTTCACCACATTGAGCAGGATGGTCTCCGTCTCCAGACCTCTTGATCCACCCACCTCGGCCTCCCAGAGAGCTGGGATTACAAGTATGAGCCACTGCACCTGGCCTCTTTGCCCATTTTTGAGTCATGTTGTTTATTTTGTTGTTTTGAATTTGAGGGATTCTCTATATATTCTGGATATTAGTGTCTCATCAGATACATGATTTGCAAATATTTTCTCTCACTTGGCAGGTTGCCCTTTTTTCCTTTTCTTTCTTTCTTTTTTTTTTTTTTAATAGACTATATCATTAACCATATAGCACAACTGCAGTTGCATTTTCAGCTCCTTCTACTTGACTGATGTCTACCTCTTTTTTTTTTTTTAATAGAAACAGGATCTCACTATGTTTGCCTGGTTGATCTCAAACTCCTGGCCCCAAGCAGTCCTCCCGCCTCAGCCTCTCAAATTGCTGGGATTACAGTCCTGAAACACTTTCTTCAGCTTTGTGGGGTGCCTTTTTACTCTGTTGATACTGTGTTTTTTTATATTGTCTCTTGATGCATGAAATTTAAAAAATCTTCATGAAGTTCAATTTGTCTGTAGGCCTTTTTTGTTTTTGTTCCTGCTTGTTCCTTTGGTGTCATATCAAAAATTGCCAAATCCAATGTCATGAAGCTTTTGCCTTCTATTTTCTTTTCTTTTTTTTTTTTTTTTAGCCTCCTGAGTAGCTGGGATTACAAGCAGCTGCCACCATACCTGGCTAATTTTTTGTATTTTTAGTAGAGATAGGGTTTCACTATGTTGGCCAGGCTGGTCTCAAACTCATCACCTC